GACTTTTACGTTGTTAGTTTTTGCTTTCCGGGCGTAACCTAAGGAAGTATTGTAGTATAGTCCACCTCGCAAATAGCTAGTTTCATGTTTTCTAGACATTTCATGACACTTAGAGTACGAAAAAGTAGGTATTCCCTTTCCGTGTGTCGGTCTATCAGTTGTCTGTGTTGATTAGACAGATAATCTCTGAAACTACTGAAGTGATTGTTATCAAATTTTAAATGCGATTTAACAATGTCATGTAGAACGTTAAACCCATCCCCAGCAGCAACTGAATGACGTCCCTTCACTCTTTTGTGCAGTAAAGAGTGTCTAAATTTTATAAAATAATATAAGGTACTTCTCTAGTAGTAATTTCTAAATACGTCGTAATTTGATTTTATTGCGAATACGAACGAGTTTGCCAAACATGTTAAAAGTGAGCAACATAAAATTGAGCGATACTGATAAACGATCAAATCCAGGCTTTCATGGGAAAAAAATTAAAAAATATTCAGACAGAACAATCGTTAAATCTTTAAAATTAAAATTTGCATGTGGAATTGATATAATTTATTAAGGTAAATGAATCATTTCAAGCAATCAATACGCTAAATTTTGATTTTCGAAGTGGAATTTTGGATGAGGTGTGTTAACTTTTTGAAAATAAAAACTCATAAATTATTTGTTAATCACGATTTTGCTAAAGATTGCATGCTTGTGTTGGACGAAATGGTCATCAGAGCTGGAATAGAGTGATTATTGTGTGAGCACTGGAATATATATTGGTGGTATTACTTTGTCTCAGCATAAAGGCATTAGTAATTTTATTGGGAGGAGTTGAGTTACAAGGAATATACAAATCGTGTGTTGTTATTACACTGGAGATAGTACAAATGGTGCAGTTTTGGCTGAAATTCTATTAGAAATTTTTCGCAAAATTACTTTATTAATAAGACTGGACATACATTCAGACTTCCATTATAAGGCTAACGAATCAGGCGATGTGGAAAAAAAATAGTTAGGATTACTGCAGGAAAAAAATGTGTTATAAATCCGGACAATGGAAAAACATTTTACTTTCTACCAGATGGTCCTCATTTATTAAAAAATATTAAACAATGTTTAGTGCAAAACAAAACTAACAGCGGATTATTTTGTACAAAAATATAATTTACTATGTGATATTAAAAGTTGAACAAAATTTGTATTAAGGATAATTTTGATTAAAATTTGCACCTACTTTAAGCAGCAATCTTTCAAATTCCGGACATTTTAACAAAATGAAAGTTTCAAATTCATTAAACGTTATCAATCGAAATGTTTATTGTGTTATCAATCAGGTATAATGCACAGAAAGGAGGCGACCAAACTTCAATAACGACAGCTGTTTTCATTGACAAATAATTCAAATTAATTAGTTCTAGACCTACAACGCTAGCTTTAAGCAAATCCAATACGACTGTCTATAAAGAAACACTTGAATTATTGAAAGAAATTATCAAATTATTTTCATCCTTAGAAGTGGCCCCAAATTAATTTGAAAATGCAATGTGGAAATCTATTCAGACTGGTGTGATCTTAACTACGTCATCAATTTTGAATCTGCAAGACGAGGTTTAAACGAAAAAAAATATCTGTTTATAACGAGTGATCAAGAAGTTTTTAAATTAGAGTTGATGGCCATGGAAATATTTGTCATGTCTTTGATTGAAATGCATATGTCAAAAATCCAAATTATTGAAATACAAATGAGGTTATGCATGATATTTACAGTTTAATCAAAGACATGACAAATGTTTCCATGGCCAACCCTAATCTAAAAACTTTTTGATCACCCGTTATTAACCTCACGATTTTTTCAAGCCTTGAAACTGTTGTGTCTTTCACAGTATCTGAATGTTCCGAACGACAGTGGCTATGAAGTAGATGAAAGAACACCTTTAAATATATATTTTTTAATTTATTGGAAGTATTGGAAGTAATACAAAAGAAGATAATGTTATCAAAGAGAACAAAGATTTGATTGTACCTCATGATTGAAATTTAAAAAGAATCGAACTTTCTTTAACAGAAAAAAATGCTCTTTTTAGTTACCGGTTATGTACAAAAATATAAGAATTGGTATTTGTATTATCTATATTTCTTATTTATAGGGGTTATCATATAATAATCAATAAAATTTTGCAAAATGAAATTTTATAATCTTTTGGAGAAACTGGATGTGTTCGATTTTATTTAAAGGGGGAGGGAAGTTCAGTATAAATAACTTTACATTAATTTTTTCGTACTCAAAATAGATAATTTAGACCTAGTACTTGCCGCAATTTCATTATTTTGTATAACGAATGCAGCAATTGTTGAGAAATATTTTGTATACCGAATCTCATTCCAACATTTGGAAGTGTAATTATGTATCTGCTTATCTTCGATTTCCAAATTTTCTATAAATCTTGAGTCACAGCAACAGTCTTGTTAAATTATTACTAAGTATTCCACGTCCCACAAGAGACTGGACCAAGGCTGTGTTAGGTATGTTGATTTTTGTATTCTTGTATGGTTTCGAAGTATTTAAAAGTTTAAACGAACTATTTAAATAAAAACGAGTTACATAATCGCGCAAAACGATACATTCTTAACTTTTGGCCCTGCAAAGTACTTTATACAGGATGGTGAAAAAATGGCGCACCAATTCAATGGTACATTATTAAGTTCACAAGTCTAAGTTCAGGAAAAATTATTATAAAATTCCTTACGTCAATTTAACGTTCACGTACAGAAACAAAATATCGATTTAGACCGATACATCAAAAAACTCTAAAAATTAGCCACACTTGTCCAATTCATCCTAAACAATTTTTAAGTTTTGTGGATGAAAATAAGATACCTCCAAATTTATTTTGAATAATGGAAATCTAATTGAATTCATGCATCCAACACTACTAAGTGGTGAATTAGAATATGGTGAAATATTGAAAATAAAAGTTAAATTTTAAAGGGCTATATTTTCTACATTTGGACCCAAGAATTTTTTAAATTATTTTTTCTCTGTTCTACGTATAAAGGGTCCTCAACAACGTGTTATAGCGTTTTTTCAGCACCCTAGATAAAAACGTTTAAACATTTGACAAACTGAAAGAAAATCTAATTTAGTAGGTATGTACTCAATTCACATAAGATTAATTTTGCCATAGGTGAATTTTGTCAACAATACATTAATTCTAGGTCGATGAAGTATGCTAATGCAATCTTTTAAGGATATTTTCACCAATATTTTTCCATTAACTATGATTTATAAATCTTATATTGTATTCGTTTCTAATATGTGCACGATATCTAAAAAAAATGTCAGTGATTTACACACTCTTTTCTCATCATAAACAGTATTAAGCCTTTACATGTTTGTCTTTAGAGGGGACATTAGCAATACTAACATATTAGGTACTTTTTTAAATAACAGTTAAGCCAGTCAAATTATTATTCGAACTTAAAATAAATAAAAAATAATGGTTAAATAATATAATTCATTTATAGCTTTATCACCATCGTATCTTTTCCAAAAACATCTTTTGGCACAATATATGTAATTAATTCATCATCCCTGTATTAATTTAGTTTTTTTAAGTAATAGTATAGCTAAAATTCAGTTTCAGTACAAAACAATTAATTACATTGCTAAAATTTAACATTATAATTACTATTAAACAGTTATTTTGTAACCAATACAAAAAAATGATACTTTAGAAGACGAAAACAGTTTTTTCAACTAGATATTACTGGGACATGTCAAAAGATTTCACTAATCCATCGTTAGTTAACGAACAGTAAAGGCTCATTTTAATTACAAGTGAACAATGAACATAGTATTTAATGTATTCACTTTTATGTAAACAATGAGTCTACTTTGTTAAAAAAAAAATTAAATTTTATTGCCACAAATAAACTTACTGTTAAAATAGGCCTAAAAAAATATTAATGTCATTCGCTACTCGATGTTCGTTTGACGGCCGCTTTGTATTTACCACTTTAAATACAATACGTCCTTTGTAAGAAACGTCATCATTTTCTGTAAAGATTCTACTAAATTATCACAACTTTTGACATTTTATTTCATTAGAGGGAATTTGTCATATGACCTATAATTTCGATGTCATTTATTGTTATGACTAATGACCTTCTATTAATTTGTCAGAAGTCGATAAAATAAATAGTGTAAGGTATACAGTAATTTCTTACTATTTATCTTTCCATTAGAGACGATACACCATTTACACAAACTGACCATGGAGTTTACACACCGAAAATTAAAAAAGAAATGAGTAAAAATGTGGTAAATTTAGCGTTAGGGGTATACGTGACTAGACGAAGACTAATCATATCACCTCAATTCAGGTTACTTATGAAACATTTAATGCATATATAGTACCACGCGTTTTGCAAGTTCAAAATTATTATTAGTTTTATTTCTGAAAAAAACCCTGTTTTCATAACACTCGCGCGGATATCATAAAATTACCTGAGAAATTGATTATTAATCACATAAATAAACTTTTACCTTTAAACTGCTTATGAATTAACAATAAAAAATATTAGTAGTAGAAAATTAGCAATGTAAAATTATTCAGTAAAGTTTACCCATTATAAAACTTAAAGAAAAAAATAGCTGTGTTCATCTCAAGAGATCAAAATAAACTAACAAAAAATATTATTTAACTATGAGATAATATTAAACAAATATTTAGTGCACAATTTATAAAGCGCAAACAATTTTTTACAACTCAAACAAAATAAAGCGATTTGCATAAATTTCTTAAAAGCGTTAAGACACTTGAACATTTTTTTCGTAGTACTACAGTAGTAGCATTGTACTTGCATGAATGACTTTATAATAGCATGTACGATTTCGTGACGTAATCGCCTGCGTGATAGGTAATATATTTTATTAACCACAAGGTTAAGAATTTTAGTGCTGCTTTTTATTTATTCAACTAAATGTTAACCTATGACTTCGACGAGCATGTAAATGTCCTTGTTATAAGGATGTATAGAATCAGAGTGGGGAAGTTAACTTATAAATAAATTTAAATCAATTTTAGCTGTTTCAGTCAATTTTAACAAAAGATGGGTATTTTTGTGGTAAGAGAGTGCATTTAGTTTGAAAACACGTTGTGATTATGTGCATTTCAGATACTAATTTTAGGACTCGCCGCTTGCGTGAAAGGTGACGTTGGTTATCGATATAAGGTGCCGGCTACAAGTTACGATGTTCCGTTTGGTTCAGTTGGTAGTTTAACTAATGACAGAAAATATTACCATGTTGGGAAACAGAGTTTTTCCACCGGAAGTGTTGTCCCAGTAAACCCTTCTCAACAACTCCAAACACCGATTCATGAACACACCTCTTTCATCGGAACTGGCAATCTTCCGCAACAACAGGTGTCATTGTCTGCCAGAGGTCAAGAGAACACGAATTTATTAAATAATTTACATACTCCTGTACACACAGAAGGTATTTCCACGTTCAATATTGCAGGAAGTTCTCTAAACCGAAATGCTGGTGATGTCGGTACGCACAATGTGGCACTGGACTCCAAATCAAACTTTGAAGGAGGAAATTCGCACAGTGTACTAATAAATTCCAAATCTCAGTTTGAAACAGGAAATTCTCAAGATGTAGTACTGAACTCCAAATCCACCTTTGGTCAAAATGTGGCGGTAGATTCTCAGTCTAACTTTCAAGCCGGACATTCTCAACAAGTAGAGCTACAAAGACATCTATATTTCTACTCTGCTCCCGAAGAACCCGAAGAAGTTCGTCCAAGAATAGTAGCACCTCCGGCTCCTGCGAAGAAAAATGTCAAAGTTTTGTTCATTAAAGCGCCTACATTTAATTCAGCTCCTGTTCATATTCCCGCTCTACCACAAAATGAAGAGAAAACTCTTGTATACGTGTTAGTGAAAAAACCAGAAGAAACTTCGATAGTTCTGCCAACACCTGCACCAACGAAGCCATCAAAACCGGAAGTTTACTTCATTAAGTACAAAACACAAAAAGAGGCTCAAGAAGCAGTTTCCAACCTTCAGCAAGGTGGTGGCCATGGTGGAGTTTCGGCAATCAGCAGTGATGAATTCAATGCCAATTCTTTCTCCAATAACGTTCTTTCGGCCGGTCATCACATTGAATATGAACCAAATGTTGAGCTTAACCGAAATATTAACTTTGTTTCAAAAACTTCATCATCACTAAATGAAAATGGAGGAATTGGTTCTGAATCTCCCTTAGTAGTTTCCACACTGCCAACGCCTACTTCTTTTGGTGAATCTGCTTTACACTTTACTAGTGGACACAGTGGACTGTCAAATATTGTCACACCAGGATTTCCTCATTCTATGGGACAAACTCATGGTGAACGAATATTCTCTTCTGACGGAATTACAAATTTTGATGGTTCACTAAATAGCAGAGTAAACGAATTTCAGGGATCGACAACTGTAGGTTCTTTGAACTTACCAACTGCTCCTACCAGATTTGATGGAGAGGTAAAAGTTCATCAAGTATATGGTCCTCCCAGCAACTAATGACAACTTTTTCTATTTGCTCACTTTTTTAATACATGCTTTTTTAGTAAAACAGTGTTTTTGTCTAAAAAATAACACACATACAATAATTGTTATAAGCTCATTACAACACTGCGAAACTTGCGCAAAAAATGATATTATTATGATTATGAACCTTCCATTAAACAACACAGTTTAGACATGCATATATAAACTGTAAAAGAAAATACACAAAATATGAACACACGACTAATGGATGGAAAATAAAGACGTGCATATATTTCTACTGATATATTTTTTATGTTAAGCTAAAACATACATATATTTCTAGCGAAAACAATTCAGTAATCGGCATTTATTTGATTTAAAAAAAAGCTGTTATTCAGATGGGAAAAATTGACATTTGAACAATCAACCAGTTCCTTGAGATAACAGTAATCCTTTATAAAAATCTGTTTCCTGCTTCTCTTTAAAAAATATTTTATAATTCCTATAGCAAACGAAGAATGCTTAATGGTAGGTATTTGAAATTTCAGTGAATCTATTGTAAAATCATCGGCAAAAAAATGGAAAGAAAAAGAATAAAATAAAAACCACACGTCTTAAGGTGAGTCCTTACCTTTTTCATTTGCGAGGTGTTCAATACATATTCAGAAATGTAATAACTGCGTTATGAACTTATTGCACTTAAATTTTAATTATAAATTGTCCACAACTTACTCCATGCAACACGGCAGCAGTTCTTTATTTTAAACAGTATACCATCATCATTCTTTTTAAAGTTTTGGTAAAATTTTTCATGAGGCATTTTTTAAAATTCAATATCTCAATTATTTATGTACCTTAAATTTCGGATTACAAAGCTCCGTACATTACGTAGAAAACATTGTCGATTTCCTCTGTTGAAACTGAGATACAGCAAAGGAAATTTCTTCGACACAAGTTTTTCTTTTGAGTATGTTATTTCCGACAAAAGAAGTCGACAATGTTTCCCGGATAACGTATAGTGATCCATAAGCTGAAAACACTGGTGAAATCTGCGTTACGAAATTTTCATAAATATTGAGATATTGATTTTTAAAGATACGCCACGAAAAATTTCGAGAAAATGCTAATAAGCTGCCGATAAACTTGCGTTATATAGCGGAAAGTGTGGACAGGTTATATTGAAAATTTCATAACAATAGCTCTGTCAATAAGGGGCACATTACATTTCCAAAACAGATTGAAAATACCATGAGCCAAAGGTAGGATTTCTGTTATGTTTATAAATTTATGATTGTCTGAATGTATTTTTTTCATGAGGATAAACAGAAAAATTGTGGATAGCATTTTATAGTTTAGAAAATTTCATTCTACCTTCTAAAATTTTATTGACAATAACGAGGCGGACAGTGGTACAATGGTAAGAAATATTTATGGCTCACACCAGTGCATCCGAATTTGTTGGAGAACAGTTAGCAGGTAGTTGTACTCATAAAATAATGGTCCTTTTCGTTCGTGAGTAACGATGGTCCCTGTCCGGACTTGGATTATTCTGCTTTCTAACATGTGGGAATTACAGGCACGCGACAACTTCAAATTGTAAATATCTCTTACTACTGTACTACGGTCCGTCCGTCTCGTTATTTCCAATAAAATTATATAGGGTAGAAAGAAATTTCCCAAACTATACTATCTACGCTATTCCTAAAAGTACACGTTGAATTTCACAGTAATCTGTACAGTAGTTTATTTAGTATACTTCCTGCTTAATAAATTTGCAACGGATTGGCATACAAAGGGAGAGACGTGTAGTAATAAATTAATAATGTTGTAGTATTTTATTACTATATTTTTACATTAACAATAAATAACAGAGACTTAAAAAAGTTAATGGAGGGATTGACCTATGATAGCATTCTCGTTTCTTCGAGAGCGCGAATGGAAGAGCGAGAATTTCGGTCCCTTCATCTTGTTGTCCTTGTCTTCAGCTATTCGCCGCTCGCGCGTAGTCGCGCGTTCTGATGACGCGTACCAGACGTATGTTTGGTTGCCTGGTTATACGGCGCTGAAATACCTACAAATGAAAAACCTAATTTTTCATATTCTGGAAGTCCAGGGCCTAAATTAATGTGCACTTCTACACATTTTGTGCAGTTCAAAAATGTATTTGTGCAGCTGGAAATTGCAATTTGTGCAGTAATTTTTTCAAATTATTAATATTTTTACTTCTCGAGCGTTACTAGTAAAGTGGTCGTCAAATTATACCGAATGCTGCCTGGGGCGCGGTCATTGAAGTGATTAGGATGGTTGTAATTTTTATAACTCTCCAATGTTTGGGCACAGCATACCTCTTATTTAAGTACTAACTGAATGGTACGCGGCATTCGGCCCAAATTTATGGCATCTATAAACTGTGGTTAGGGGTTTATTGAGCGCTTGTGGCGTTCAGCTTATTGTGACAGCTACTATACTACCATTGACGCCGGTTCATCCCTTCACCGAAAAGAATCGAAGAAATTTTATGATTTTGTTTGTCAAGTTGGAACCTCAAGAAACCCCAGACGTTCTGTTTTCGATCTGTCACGTACCTGCTTAACAATAACACTTGTCTCAGTGATTTCGAAAAAGTGCACAACAAAAATTTATCAGTCGTACTTGCGGAGTCGTACTGCCTTCACAACTGTTATCACTTTGGTTTTTTCTTGCATTGGTAATGCGTTGTGACTAATTTTCTTTTGTGCTATGACAAGTATTATTTACGCAATTGGCGTCATCACAAATTTTTTATTGATCAAATTAAGAACGTGTCACCCCCTTTTCTCAAAAATATGAGAATACGTAAGTCTTTATTTAATAATGACAAAATAAGAATTATAATAATAAAATTCAGAACATTTTGTTCGATGGTCTGTTTTGGGAAGACAACACACAAACTTTTGTTATGTACCTTTAAATAGTGACATATGTAATAATAGTATAGAGGACAGAAGGGGGATTAAAGGCGATTGTGCAGTTGTGCAGTTGGAAATTTTCCTTAATTTAGGCACTGTGGAAGTCTGCAATAGTAATTTACGTTATAAGTTCGGTAAACTCGTCCTCATTAAACGAGGGGACGAAGGAGTCGAGTCAGTAATTTTAAGACGACTTACTGTAAAAGTTTACCGGACGTATGTCGTAATGAGTTTTATTTCATACTACAGACACTAAATCATTGTTTAAATTTGAAAAAAAAAAATTTGAATTGAAAATATGATCTGATCATCTATGAAACGCTAGTCCCTATGGTTACTGTTTCTATTGATTGTTTTGCAAAATTTTCCGAGACAAAATGACAACAAACTGTAATATTCCGGATGATGCTATGGGATGATGTTCTGAGTAAATATAATGAATCTACCGGATCTCTCATTCCAACAAAATCGTCAGAAAGATACCATGAAGAGTATAAGCAGGTATTTTTTTTAGTAATAAATAGTTTTGATTATTATTGATTTATTTCATTTGAATCCGGTAAAGGTTTTTACAGGACATGATACCCTAAACTATCATTTTCCAAACTCAAATCATTAATTTTAACATGAGTGTTACGAATTACGATGTAGTATGAAATAAAATATTGAATTAAAACCATTCAATAGGTTTAAAATATTTCCCTGACTAACATTCAGCAAATAAAAGCTACAAATAAATATCTACAGTTCAAAGCTTGAAACTTCGTTGAGTGCCTAAGTAATTTTGACTTAGAAAAAGTGTTCAACCTAAATTTACTTGTTATAACCTAATATCAGTTTAGTTTTACTGTAAGACCAAACTAGAGTTTAAAAAACAATTAAACATCACGAGAAAACTGAGAAGACCACAATTAATGTTTTAAGATTTTTACGAAATACATATGTACTTTAAGATTCTTAACAAAATTTTATATATAGATTTTTCTATTTGTTGTTATCTTAAGTTAAAAAAAAATGAATATTAAGATTAATAGGAGTATATGATTTTGATGTATTTTAATAAGGATTTCAGCGTTTTTAACGCAGATTAAAAAAACTGTTGTTAAAGCAGTTGTAATATTAACTCGTAGCCTTAAACTTAAATTTAAAGCAGCACCGGCTCTTACAGATTTTATTGTACGCAAAATTTGTGATGCAAAATTATTCACAAATATTTGCAACTGCATGTCTTTAATGGTTTCAGTCATTAATACTACAATTTCGAAGATTTTCAAATGATTGATCAACGAATTTAATTGAGTTTTTCAGTCAGTAATTTTCTTTAACTCTTTCTTGAACATTCATGTTCAATTTGAGAGAAAAACCCATCAATGCATTGGAAGTGTACGACCAATATTATATCAAAACTCCTTCATTAAAAAAACTAAATGTCAACGTGTTTAATATTATCGTCGTAAAACATTTCTATACCTACTCAATGCGTCGAGCTTTGAGCGTAAACATCATTAAAGAAATAGCATAAATTAACTTTTAACTGAAGAGAGAAGTTAAATATATATCTTATGTCATGCAGAAAACGCAACTCCTTTCCAACTACATACTTTGGAATTTCTAGTTCTATAAAATCAGTCTTTATTTTTTACGTAACATTGGTTGCATATCTTCACTGCACTGCGGCACACTATGGCATCTACTGTGCTATGGCATTGATGTGTTTTTCCAAATTGAACACTAGTAGGACTTTATGACATATAATCAGAGTTAAAAAAATAACCCATACCTATATAGATTTATTTTAGACCAACTGACATTTTAACTAAAATACGTCTGTTTTTAAATATCGTAGAAGACAAGTTTTATTCTACTTTTCAACAAAATATGTATTCCTCCAAACTTACTATTTATATGACAGATTCATATTTTGACCAAAGCATATCCTTCTAACTGTGTGACCCACTGCTCCAGAATCAGTAACAAGACTCCTATTTCTGTCTTGTCTTGAAAAATTATACCCAATGCTTATTTGGACAATACCAGCTATGGTTGTTGTACCATTGATTTCTTGAATAATTTTAGTGATGATTACATAATAACAGTGCTTGGGAGTAATTCAATTACAAGTAATTCATTACTGTAATTCAATTCTTTTTCAAGTAATGACTAATGAGTAATTGTAATGAATTACTTTTCAAAAAACGTAATGAGTAATTGCAACGAATTACTTTTTTTGAGTAATTCAGTCACTTTTACAATTACTTTTAACCCAAATACTCAAAAATATTGTTTTGTTTTTCTCTACGAATCGTTTACCTGACTTGCTGGGATTATTACACCTAGTTCGTCCCCACAAAGAGGAGATTAACCCAGTAAGGAGTTAAAATCTAAAACAACTTTAGCATAGAATTTGTTAAAAACCAGGTAACCATACATAAGCTCTTCATCATTTTAAGGGTGAGCTAAATAATTTCAGCATAGGGAAATACGTATAAACTTCTACCCAAGCTTTTGCCAAAAGTATACGTCTGATTGTAATAAACTTCACACAGTTGAAATGAGCGTAAAAAACCCTACAGACTGCTTTTCCGTTTTTTAAATTCTGCTGTAAAAAAAATACAACGCGTTAAAATTGTGATGAGTATGAAATTATCTGGTTTTCGCTATTTATGGATCAGTTTTAAATTTTCAAAAAGGTACTGTGATAACCCAAACTTCCCGCCTTTAAAAATTGACCTTGAAACAGTTTGAAAGGCCCGCGAAAAATTCAAAAATTCAAAATTTGGCCTTGGCTGTGATCGTCTAACAAATGAGAACCTACGTTGTGTTTTTTTTTTTTTTTGCTTTTGAAAATTGGCGGGAAGAAGTTCTTTCATACAAGTGCATACACGGTCGAGAGCGCAAGAAATAATTAACAGAAATTGTTTTGGAGGGGGGGGAAACGGCACCACCCTCACAGGGGGAAAGGCGCTGCGAAGATTTACCCCTCAGCGCAAAAACCCCCTTGGTTTTATTCCCGGACGACATTTTATTACATTTCAAACACCTTAAGATATTTGAAAGAAAAACACTCGCGGATTGACAGACATACACATGTGAAAACCGAACAAACACAAGACCTACACATATGTAAATTGGATGGCAGGACCCGAATCATTATGAGAGTGTGGCGATCGAACAAAATATAGAACAAAATATATCAATTTCATTTACGAGCACAGCAAAATACCCAGAGGGGGTGTCGTAGCGTGAGCGAAGTTTGGAGCTCCCGGTCTGGGCTGGTTTCCCCCGCGACGGTGATTCTATCTACACCAAGCCTGCCAGACAGCACCCCTCCATGACGAACATGCCGTCCAAGCAGGCCGTTTCGGCCTAAAACTAGCGGTGAAGTCTGGTCAACTACTACCTCGTCGTCAAGACCGTTCCCACTGAAATCTTGTTCAAAGCCTGCACGTCTTATGCAGACAGCGCGATACATTCCGCTACCGCAACTAGGAACTGCGCCCATCGCCGACACTACGTGTTGTTGTGTTATTTACCTTCAATTCTATTTAAATGTTCAATCTCTATGACTCTAATATTAAATGACAACCGAACAAGTGTTAAAGTTTCAACAAAGAGCAATAAACAACATTTAAATTCGCCACACACTCTTACGAAAATTCAACAACAAATAATTCTTAATTGAGATTAAATTTGGACATCAGATAATTTACATGATAGAAACATTAATCAACAAAACATTTACAAGATCAAAACTTAGCAAAGATTTGTGAAAACAAAGATCTGGTATGAAATAAACCTGTGCAAAGAAAATATCATGTTAGGTCAAAACTGTAGAGCATGGAAATTTACGTTCAATTCAAATTATATTGCAAAGAAAATTACTGAAGCTAAAATTGTGAGACAAAGACAAATTGCATGAGGTGAAAGATTGTAAAGTTAACAGATTTACATGTGATTAATATTAATTCGTGTCCAGTCAAGTTATTGGTTAAAATTCAAACGTGAAATTATTTAGCTGCATTGTGGGCCATTATTACACATACATTTCCCCAAACAAAACACATAAACAAACATGGCAGACAAGCTGCAGTTGCAAAATGGCGTTGGACGAATTCGTCATTCCAAATAATAGGCGTCGAAAATATGCGATGCAAAAATACGATGAATCCTGTGGCGTTGTATAAACGATGGGCTAAATAAAAGGAATCGAAGGCACGTCCCCCCATGACCCACAATGTTGTTATTTTGTTCAATAGATTCAGTTAAAACATGTGCTCGATTAAAAGAAACAAATGGACGCTTCAAAATGGCTGCTGCCTGAACAAAGAACGGTGAAATAACAACTCGTTTGCCGCCATCCAAAATACAGATTTCACAAATATAGCTAAATAAAGCATGGCCCGAACTAGAAATCACTTCCTGTAAAGCCCTACTGCGATGGATTTTAAATGAAAGATAAAAAAAAACGAGATTAGTGGAAAAACAAGCGCACGCGTCGCTGCGTCACGAGGTCAGAAGCATCGTCGGGGCTTGAAATTCGCCGCGAAACAGGTGTTCAAAACATACCTCTCCAAAGATGCGAAGATTTCGACACGGCTTACCGCCAAAAGGAACGCAAAAACCTCGTCGTAAGAACGATGAGAAATCAGGAACACCCAATGGCTCAACGGTGGCTGCTAGGTTTTCCAATGGAACTGGATCAACACTGGAAAAACAAAACACAACAGCAAAAGGCACAGAATAATTCACAATTAAAAATACAACCTGTTGCTCGAAGCGCTCGAAAAGAAGTCGACCGTTCTCTCCAAGCGATCAAAAGGAAGTGACCGTTTTTCAAGACAATACCACCCTCGCTTTGCGCATCTCTGTTTCTTTGGGGTGGTTGGTTGCCAACCTCTTCTTCTTGTCAACCGTTTCTTGTGCGCGCGAAATTCATTTGAAATTTAAAAATTCGAATTGGATCCTTACAGTACATTAGTAGAAATTGTATTAAAAAATCCATTGCGTTCTACAGAAATAAAATCTCTTAATAAATAATTGAGTAAACAAGGGCAGAATTTTTAAAATTTGTGGTCAAACAAACTTTAGCGATTTTTCTGGTCCACTCGAATCTATAACAGGTAACCGATAGAGCCCGTCCTTTTAAACCCCACATAATCCGATTATAAAATTTTATGACAGTGTCCACCCTCTAAAGTTTTCTAAATTTAATCTGTAAGTCACAACGCCAAGCATGAGGCACTTACTGTAACCTCATTTGACATAGACCTGTTAAAACTTTAATGACTTAAGCGGCTTAAGCCAAAGGACCCTTATAAGTCATCTGGCTATTGTAAACTTTGTTGACCCGAACCGCAAGATTATTACTGTCCATTGTTGGCATAATGTATATGTGAACTGAGTGAAGTAATACAATTGCATTCATAAAACACAAATACAGAGTGACAGAGACAGAGTCAGAACATTCTACATATTTCATACAGGAGTTACTCGGCAAAATTTTTAGAAGACGTCATCAATTTTTTGGGAGGAGATAAACGAATAAACTTTGATTAGGTAACAGTTATCATGATTATGATAACCTTAAAACGTTTGCAAGATTTCAAAGCATTCGTTTTTGCTATTTCAAATTTAAATTCCAAAAAGTTTTTACACAATTTTGATTTTTTTTTTCCGAAAATTTGGATGTCGACGGTGAAAACACGGTTTCATACACCACAAGTGCAGAAGTACAAAATAAAAAAATAGATTGTAAATTTTGGATATGAACGTCATTTCATTGGTGACGGGAATGACTAGTCAAAGCGTTTTACCTCACCCACCGAAAATATCAGTCACTGTGTCCCACATGCATCTTAGGAAAAAATTCGACCTAAAAATTTTATAATGTCTTCAATTTTTCCCTATCTGCTACAAAAATTACCACCTTGCAAAAATATGTTTTATTGTTCTTAGAAATAAGCTTAAGTATAACATATAATTAACAGAATACTTAGTAACCATTTTTATGTACACAACACATGATGGTATCAAGAGTTAAAAACCAACCGGGTAATTGCAAATTCTAAGGTAAAATTAATTTAGGGCTATGAATTAAATTTAAAGCTTTGTAAATACTACAATTCAGTTAGCAAACCTTGTTCCCTGTTTCAACTTTTACTCGGTTGAAAAGATACTTTTTACATAAAATGTAACCAACAGTTATGTTATAAAAATATGTGTAATAATACATAATTAATTTAAAAATTCATACATAACTCGCACAATTTCATAACACCCCTAAAAACTCTACTTTGCTACTAATAGTTCTTTCTTTAATTCCTTCAGTTGTTCTATTTTACCACATGTTTCAATTAATCTAGTCTGCACATTAACAGCACGAATAATCCATTGTAACGCTTGTTTAAACATAGACTGTGAATGATATAAATCTTGTGGTACCAAGTATCCAAACCACCTAACTGGATCAATTTGTTCTTCATTTTTAACTACTTCTAAAGTCCTGGCTTTTTGTCCAAAAAGCTCCTCATCATCTTCCCCAACTACTGTGGTTACAGCATCAAAATCAGGGCTGTTTTCGGTTGGTAATTGTAATGATGATACACTATTCTGTCCCAAAATGTATCGAGACTTCGCCAAGTGCGTTTCACCTCCACACATGGCATTTTCCACATTAAGCTTTATTTGAATTTCTTCCTCCATAAGTGTTAAGGCATCTAGTGTTAATTTGTCCAAAACAGTACATATTTTATCAAGTTCGGTCATTATAGCAAGTCGCTAAAAATATTACTATTTTTACCATAATTTATTCTGCAATGTCTACGAATATTTGTTCTTACCAAATGCTTATTATAGGCAGCTTTTATTCAGTGTTAGCAAGTTGAATGCAACTAGAACACAATTTTCTTTTTAGGTTATTTGAAATGTCATGATCATATGATGCGTTGCTGATAATGCTGGTCGTATTGTTGGTTGCCTAGCCCGCGACATTATTACATGAACAACAGATGTGTATAACGTGATTAAAATAATAATTACTACTTCGGTTGGTATTATTAACAAATTTTGCTTGGTAAATTTGTCACCTCACCTTACTTCCTGTTGTCAAAAGGGACATTTCGTTTATGTCAAAATTTGTTATTGATTGTTTTATTAAAATTACATAACCTAGCAGTAACCCTCTGCAGTATTATCTCTGCAGTAACCTAACGTTCTTGAGCGCTTAAAAGCTGGCGGGCGGCATCTCTTTTTTTTCATTAGTAGATGAAATAAATTTAATAAAATTATAGTGCCCCCCCCTTTTCTCGAATATGTGCGAATACACACGTCTTTATTTAATACGGTTAAGGTTTTGAGGAAACAAACTCGTTAAAATCAAACAAATTGCTGCGTAACATTTTTTTTTTCTTATAAACATAAACAATCGAAGTTAAGCATGTACACTAATGATAATACACTATTTCTCGTTGGTTATCTGTTTTAAATACATATATTTCATATTATGCATATAGTGGCGGCCAAATAAAATAGCACACTTTTCTTTCCTTAAAGTAACTTTCAAATTTGTATGGATGTTTAAAAATCATTGTTAATGGATACCTATTCACTTGAGTCCAGTTTACACAACTAAATTTATTGAAAAAATCTTTTCAAGAGGTGTCTTAGGTCCTACTTTATTATTTTGGCCGTCACTGTATTTACATGCGCGAAATGCCCCCTTGCAATTTACCCCCGGCGTAGCATCTCGAAATTCCTACCTTTCAAAATTCGAATATGTTTATCCTCATCGAAGAAGTGATTATGACCGACTGTTACAAAAGCCCAATTTTATCTCACTAATTCTTCGAAGGAATGTGTATAAAAAATTCTGTGTATAACAGAACTGTATTTACAAATTCATTATGTTTTACTGTTTCATGATTGAATTCACGTCAGACGAACATTTGACATCTCCATCCGAAAACAAATCTGCTTAAGGTAGTGCCAAGCACTAAAAAGAACGTTTCACGAAGCTGAATAACCCATGTGCGCCATGTGAGGCCATTTTCATGAACAGAATATCAAACTATATTTGATTTAGTTGCAATATTTGGTTAGGTACTTACTTTTTTAAATTATAAAATTTAGTTTAGGTACAAGTATTTTTCTGTCAGTATATGAGCATCGGCTGAACCGACTGGACATAATCGTATCGACTTCAATATTCATATGTCCAAAATTAAATTATTCTTTTGCCAAGTGTGTGATAGCAACATGCAACAAATTTTTTTTTTGAAAATTATAACTGGAGGTGAGTACAATGCAGCTAATTCAACACAACGAGCATAAGTTAACAACGGTAAAGTTCTTCTGATTTCTGAATCACAGTCAAACAAATATACAGCTTCGAAAAATTATAAACTTTAATTTTGCGAAATTTATGTTATTATGATAACCCCTAAAACTTAATAAAGATATGTGTGGTCTCATATTATAACACTTGCATAACTCTTGGATCAGGGGACGCAATCCGCACAGATACAGATAATATGAAATACATGTAGAACAGACAACCAATGGGACAACATACATTATCAGTACATGCTTAACTATTATTTTATTTATGTCCATACATCAAAAGAATTCTAACAGTACAAAATAAGCGGCAGTAAATAGAAATATTTTGCACAAATAAACAAGTTATGCGAACCAGAAAATCATAATTTATAAGTGGAAAAACTAAATCAAAACAGTTTTTCGTAGCAGTCAGCAATTTGATCAAAATACTACAGTCTCCTAGTAGTCCTAGTCAGTATAAAGTAACAGTACCTCCAAAAAAATATTACTGAATATTTCTTATACACATAAGTGATAAAAATCCGAAAATTATGTCGAAGTATACCTACGTCTGAGTTATCGACCAAAAGACGTAAGATCTCAGAATAGATGAACCTTTATCTCTCGGAATGAAGATACTCTTATTACTGGAGTCAAGGCAAAATTGGTACCAATCGAAAAATTGTGTTGGATGTATGTACCAAGTTAGTCTTCCCAACGACGTATTAGTTGTATTATAGGAAGTTGACAGTTAAACTAATTTTCTACTATAAAAATCATCCAATTTCATCAAAAAATCAAACTTCTAGTGTCTTCACTTAAGGTTCATATGAAACATCAAACAATAATACTTCTGAATTATAAAGACAATTTTATAGTCCATAATTTTGGACAACGACCATAAACTCATAACTTATTATTGTAATTCATCTTTCCTCAGCGGTGCAGCAGTCAGTAATAGTTAAACAACCTTTTCCAGTAGAATACTTTTCAATACTTATTATTAAAATTGCAGAGCTAACGGTTTAAAACAATATGGAATTCAATGGAGTTGAGTCAAAATTTTATTACTATATAAGCGACATCATCATATGTATTATTTGATTTAATATTTGATTCTTCACGACCTGTTATCATAACTAGTAGGTACATAATTATAATGAATTATAAACTAAAAAAGGCAAGGTTAACAGAATTTTTGGAATTATCTTATAATTTAGCTCTATACATCAGTTCACGCGTCAAAATGCCTTGTTAGATAACTATTTAAACAACTTGGAAAAATAATGCTTTTTAAGTAGGTAACATTCAAAATTTTAATAGTTTATTATCAATGGCGTTTCTTTTAGTTAACACACTGTCTATTTTACACACCCAATTACTAAAGTAAGGTAACACCAGTGATCGACACTATTAGACCAACATGAACAAAAAACCTGTCAAAATTAGAGATTTGCGGTCAAGTATCTTGTAAAATTATTTTTGGGATTTGATTTTTGAATCTTTCTCTTTGTTCCTATAATAACAAATGATGGTTTGTTTGTGTAGTTTTAAAATTTTGAATTGTTTAAAAAACTATTCTAAATCCGCAGTAATCGACACAGGAATTTTATGATTTTCCAGTAATTAATATGACTGGAGAGACTTGTCTCGAATAAAAGTCGACAGAATTTTACAAAAAAAATTAACTTTAATTCTCATGTAAAAATGTAACGTAAAATTATGTCAATGAACAAAAAAATCTATATTCTGTAAAATTAACAGCGTAACAATCAGCCTCCATTAGTTATTAATCAGTCGTAATATTTTTATTAATCAATTCTAACCAAAAAATTAGTATATTTTGCCATTTCCGGCATGGAATATATTCCATGTGAATTTTTTTTCTTTGGTGTTTGTAATATTTCTATTATTTCTTCTTCTGTATAATGGATTTCGTTTTTTTTATTTTAGAATTTCCAGTCACATAATAGTATATTATTATACTAGTTTAATAAGACGTCTTATTGTGGCACGCATGGGTTTGGGGCACGACGAGCGCAGCGAGGAGTGCTCCAAAGGAATAAGTGCCACAATGCGTCTTATTAAACGAGTGTAATATACTATTGTTTCTACTTTGCATCTGATCAGAAACAAAAAATTAATAATATATTATAATTTAGGGCCTTTTAATTCGAAAGGTTAGTTGTAGCGTTGTGGCTAACTTCACAATGTCAAAGTTTGACATCTAACCACCGAACACTAACAATCTAACCTAAGTTTGCCTCAAAAAATGGAAGAAGGGGCCCCCACTTCTTGCACGCCACCTGAAATACAGTTTAACAATTGATCCCATTATTAAACTGGTTTCGGTTTAATAATGAGGCCATTGTTAACGCAAAGTAGAAAAACCACTTTTTGTCATGGTGGAAGTAAAATATCCGCATGTATCCAGTTTTGTCACTCGACAGGAAAATAGCGCTGTTCATATTCTACAATAATTACATATGAATTCTGAGATGGTTGCTTAACTGGTTTTGATTTTGCTTCAACTTTGTAATACTCAAAGTCTCCATCGCTATTTTCTTAGCTCTGTGTCAATGTCGTCTAGGCTGTCACAACTTTCCACCTATTGTTCCTCAGATTTTGAATCGCTCGTCAGTAATACCGTGTGTTTAGTTTTTTGTTTTCTTGTCTTTTCAAGTTTTTTAGCTTGTCATTCTTAACTTTTCTTTTCTTTCGCTTCCACTTTTATTCTTTTTTCTTATTTTTATAATGATAATCCTGCCATGCTTTAGAAGTTATATTACCCTAGGTATCTCTTCCTTCCGTTTGCGTTTAGTTTCTTCGAGCGTTTTTTTTTAGGCCAAAACAGTGCGTCTTTGACTGGTGATGGCACATTTTGTTCAAAATTTACAAGTGTTTTCTTAGGAGTGATTGGAACAGCTGAGTCACATGCTTTGCCGAGACTGATCATTGAAATTATGTTAATGCGTTTGGGTTCAGTATTCTCCCCCTAATTTCGTATTTCTTGTTGTGTGCTGGTGCTTGGCAAAACTTCAGTTTCTTGTAACCCAGTTTTCAATTCTTTTGATTTAGCCGTTTCTTCTGCTTCTATTTCATTATAATAATTTTGCTCTAAACAAATATCCTTCTCTATTTCGTTATTTATTACTTATTACGTGTCTCTCAAATCCAATGTTTCTTTTATCTCTTTCTGAGTTTCCAACATTTGAGGTGTTCATATGTTCATTTTTTTTATTTTTTTCCAAAATGAAATAAACTTTTTTGTGTCGTTACTAAATAAAAGATCATCAATTTGTTTTTGCTGAATTGCTATCTTTCCAAATTCTACATGTTCAACATTAAAGGGGAAAAGTCCAATGCATCTAAAACCGTTTTCAACTGTTTATGAATTAATCTGTGATAAAGCTTGTTCAAAAATAGGTCCAAAATTTTCCTTCCGAACTTTATTTCCATTGTTTTCTACACGCCACCGTCGAATAGAATTTTTGCAATAACTCTTTAATGGTTTGAATACAGTAATATCCGTGGGCTGTATGAAGTGAGTAGAGTTGGGGTGAAGTGCTACAAGTTCTATTTGTTTGCTACTGCAGAACTGAGATAAATAGAGGGTCATGCGAGAAGTGTGGCCATCAGTG